AACATACCATGTATATTTTCATCTGACACATTTATAACTGTAGGCGCCACATGAACCTGAGTTTGCATGCTGAAAACAAAACCCAAAATTGTCAATTATAGTTACAAAATGTAATTACAAATCAAACATACTGTTTCCAACAAGTAATCAGAGTGCAAGTTCTCATAACAATTTTCCCACACAGTAAAACAGAGAGCCTGTGAGATTCAAGACAGAGCAGAGCCTGCTTAACAATAGTAAAAAAAAAACACAAGCTCAAGCACAACACATCCTGTTTCACCATGAAAATCACCTTAGATGCTAGCAAAGGGCAAGCACAAGTGGAAGGAAATATTCTGATCCTGCTATGCTTGTGCTTGTAATAATGCACTTGTGTTCATGCTTTCTTCAAGGCTGTTTTGACAGTGAACTAAGAGCTATTATGCTTATGTTTGTGCTTTATGCTAGTTTGTGCCTGCATCACTAGTGAAAACCAGGCTTAAATCCTGGGTAGACCTTTACCAGTTAAATATTAAAGAAGTAAAAGATCTATTTCAACAACAAAAGCAAAATAAATAAGCAAACATTTGTACCTCTGCAAATCTCCTTGATTCTGAAACATACTATGGACACTTGAAAACATTTGGTCAAGTGTTTCTTGAGACAGGAAAGGCTCTAAAGAGCAGTTAGAGCCCTGGGAAGATGGCTGCGACATGGCTGAAATCAATGAGCACACAATGATCACAATATTGCTGAAGCCTTTAGTGTCAGCCTTAAAAGCAATTACAAAGAGATCCATTCTGGTTACTAGCATGAATTCTCACCTGCAGAAATAGCTGAAAGTACCCTTAATTCTTTTACTACCAAGTGAGATTTTAACCCTTTTCCACCCTAATATCAGTATGCATATTTTCCATACTGTTCCCTAAACATTTCCTAAGATGCTGACATGGAGAATTTATGTAAGAATCAAGAGCTTCTTTAGTCTGTAATCAGCTCCTTTATTCTCCTGACCTTAATGTTTGATTCAGGGTTGATACAGTAGGGAGAAATTAGATGCCAGTCACTCTAAGGGGTTTAAAAGGGTGAAAAGTAACTTCTCCTGAACATTTTTACAACCTTATACACATGTAAAGCAAACAGAACTTACTTAACCTTACTCATTCACTGGGGGTTGTTCCTATGATTTAACCTAAATTTCCAAAACTGAGTAGTTACAAAAAAAAATATAGCAGCAAGAGGGGAGAATTAAACACCACATCTTAGGAGTTGAAGAGTTCAACCAAATATATGTACATGGCTCACAGTTATACAGTTAACATTACTATTACAAATGATACTACACTGAAATTATAAGTCTGATTGGGTGACAGTGGAATTTTCCGTGTTCTTCCTCATGAACAATTCACTTTTCATTTATATGCAAGAGACCCACCTATTAGTCATGTAAAAGGTCATCAGTGGTAATTTTAAAAACCACAGAAAAAAACATCTAAGACAACAGTGTTTTGCTGTATAGCAATCTCTTAAAAACTTTGTAATTTCCAATGCAATGGAGTGAGATTCTATGTAAGAAGTGTCTACAGCTAGGTTTCATATATATATTTTTGAGGATGTTATATAAACACTAATAATAAATACTTGGAGCAATTTGAAAATTTGGTCACATAACTGAGTTATCTGATCTCCCATTCATAGGGTAATGTACACTTGTTTTGATCACACGTGTTTATTACACTTCTTCTACGTTTTGCAATATATCCAAGGTTAATGTCAATTGTAAAGTAGTTTGGAAATTAGCCCCAGTCATGACAAAACTGACCACCTATTTTAAAATAGCTCGATTGTTGATTCACATGGAAAGTGAAATATCACAATCCATAATTAACACCTTAAAATATGCATTCAAATGAAAAAAAACCCTTGAAACCCCAGCTCAAGTACTGGAGATGAAATATTCGTTGCTTGAGATCTGGATACTATCACAGATCTATTACAATGATAAGCTTAGATCGTATCCTAACAGATGTCTAGTTTTGTAAATTCGATTTTTCCTCTAAAAGATAATGGTCGAATTCCACACATTAGACGATAAACAATTCAATTAACACAAGCAGGCTTGAAAATAAACCACAGAATTGAAAACAATGTGAAGTTTCAGTTCCAAACACTACCTCAACTTCCGATGTAAACAAAGAAACACAATCAACCACAACGAAGAGGGACCAAATATAGTTCGACTTGGTGCTGGATTCGTTTACACTAAACCCCAGTATCTTTTCCGGTTCGAGGAGTTTCCTAATAACGTTGATTAGTTATGAATTACTGCTACTTGCACCTTAAGCTGATACACTGAATAGAACCATCTCTAATGAGAGATACAAATTCTGAAAATTTTCCACTCATGTGAAATCAATTCCAAACGATCTCTTGTTCGAAATCGTCTGAGTTGAGGTAACCATTCGTTCTTGCAACTTCACAGCGAAATCTCGATGAAAACTTCGATGTCTTGGACGAAGATGGATTAGTACTTAGAGCAATAACAGATTATACCAACCTATTTTCAGGATAAGACTTCAAAACTTCACAGCAATCTACAAGAACCAAATCTCTACCATTTTGGATGGCAAACCACGCGCGCTGATTCAACATGCATGCTCAGCATCGAAATGTCAGGCGAGTAAACTGGAGCGAACCAATCAATGAAACGTTTATATCGTACTACTAGAACAAAGCCAATAGAGGCACTCTTTATATCTGAGAAAGATAAGCACGTGGTCTATTACTTCCGGTTGATTACCACCGTATTTCACACAAATAAATAGTCAGAAACTGTGTTTTGACAAGATATGAGAGATAGAAACCAGATTTTTGCACTCGAATTCAAGGATAATCTCTCAAAACAATCACGATTTCTTTCCAAACCCTCGCGCTAATCATGATAAGAACTGCACCCTATTGTGACAGCAGAGAATTGTTTTCTGCAAGTCGAAAACGCATCGCTGAGTTTTCTGCTTCGTGGATTTTTCGCAGCAATTTAAAGATGGCGCCGTAAATCCGACGGAACGCGTGTAAAATTTTATTGTCCGATTTGGCGGGAAAAATGGCTCGCCCAGACTTGCCCGATACAAAAGTGCTAATTTATGCCAAATATTCCTGAAACAATAACCTGCTTCCAAAGATATTTCCTGTGCAAACAACAGGATTGCACCTCCCCGCCGTGTAAAATGGTCAGTACGAGACAACCTGTCGCTATTTTTAAATGAGAAGCCCAGCACGTTACGTTAAAGGAGAAAGCAATGAAGGAGATGCTTTCTTTGGAACCCCTTCTCCTATATACAGTTGAACCCTGGCGACTCGAATTGCCAAGGGAAATTGAAATTACTTCGAATTATCAGGGTTTCGAGTTATAGGAGTTTAGAACAGAAAGACCAGAAACACTAGATTAAACTGGTTTTATGATTATACATGTTTTTTCGGAGGCCGATAAGCAAAACTCCTGCGCTGCACTAGTTACTGGAAAGGCTGTGAACCGGGGTGGCAAGTGCCTCGCACATTGAGTTTTGAGGGGAAGAAGAAACATGTTATTGTTCTCAAGAATGAACTGGGCACTATTGACAAGTAATGACAAACAACAGACCGACTCCAGCTTACGCGCAATTATTTCTCTTAGCCGGGAAGAACTGTTAAAACTGTTTGTTTGCAGACATACAAACGTGTGATATCGACAAAGATCAATTTGTCATAATATACAAATGAGATTAAATGTAATCTTCCGGTGCAAAATGCTATGGTTCATTGGTCCGCAAAAGTGAAAATCGACTTCGAGTTATCGAGGGTAAAATTATAAAGAAAAATACCTGCAGGTAAGTAAATAGCGCTACGAGTTAGCAGGGTTTCGAAATATAGGGGTTAAAATTACAGTAAATATATGAGGCAAATCAAAGGGAAATCAGTTTTGCTTCGGGTTAGCGAGGAATTCGAAATACTGGTGACACTGGGCTCCCTACTCCCCGGCTGTCGACTAGATTATGATGGTGGGTGGTGAGAGCGCCCGCCTCCCGCCACTCGCTGGCGAAAGTTCGATTCCCGGACCTGGCATCACATGTATGTGGTTGTCATCCTTACCCCTAGGGTTTTTCCTCGGGGGTTTTTCTCCGAGGGTTTTTCTCAGGGTTTCCGGGTTTGATCCTTCCACTAAAAGCAACATTCCACATTCCAATTCGATCTAGAAACAGTGGACAAGAAGAGCCACTAACGGAATATCCATTGTTAAATTCCCATTTATTTCTTTACATTTTAAAAAAGCCTTTTGCGTTTTGATGATTTAAAATTAATAGCGACGAGAAAACAGGGAAAATTAGAGAACTTGTACAGAGACCGTCGTTTTGCAGACACAGACAGCAACCAAGAAGCCTGATGGAAATAATTTTTCGGGCGCTTCAACGCCAGTAGATCGTCAAGAAGATTTTCTTTTATACAGCATTTTAAACCAAACTGTGCTAACCAAAAAGGAGTAGCAAGAGATTATAAACTGTCTCTTGAGGTTAGCGTGAGCACCAGCATGTATGAGCACTTCAGTTTTTGGCTGCCGCGCGCGTCTCAAAAACGTTTGTGCTCAAACCCCCTATGGAAGAAAACGGGTAAGAGGACGAAATGCGGAGAGCTGTATATTGGTATCCGTTCGGGACAGATTTAAAAGACAAAACAAAACAAAAAGCGACAAAAAGAGGCGTTATAGACGAGACCCAAGCCGGGAGATCAAAGAGGCAGATCTCACCCCCGACGGGAGACGCAGACGGATCAGTCGGGGGGACGGGGCTGCCAGTAGGAGAGTAGGTGTTAGTCAGAACTGTTACGAGACAGGGATAAATTTGGTATTTCTTTGCAGTTAGGAAAAGCGTACGCATGCGCAAATAGGAAAATGTAACTGGCCGTGGCTCAAGCTCCAGTGAGTACCCGATGAAAGCCTGTGACGTTTTGTATTGCATGGAGGAATTACAGACTAGTTACCTCAAAACTGAACTGAAACTGAATTTTTAATTCGTTTCTTAATAAAATTTGTCATGACATGAATCTCTATTAAACTTAAGCTGCTTGGTAGCAAAAAATTATTTTTTTAAAATTTCGTCGAATAAATTCTTGATTCGCCTACGATATAATATCCCGAATAGTTTGCATCGTATTTACAAGTAAAGTTGGTAAGATGGGACGATTGTTGCTACAACGATGGTTGACCTGTCCCGATAGTGCTCGCAAAATACTGGAAAGTTTCTCACCGGAATACCAAAAAGTTGCTAAAAAATTTCCAAAAACCTAAAAAATTGTTATCTAAATTTCAAAATTTGCTACCTAAATTTCTTGATATCCTTAAATGAACGTTGATTACAAGCTTTCTTTTTCGTTATTCACAATAATTGCTGAAAATTGGACAAGAGAAATAGCTTGAAACTTAGCTTTAAAGAGTTGCTCGCAAATGTGGGCGAAATGTAACGATACTTCAGTCAAACGGAAGAAAACAAAAAGCTCATTTGAAGTCCTGCCAACGTCATTTCAACCAATTACGTCACAAGTTTCGATAAAGATCGCAATAGGCCTGGGAATTGTTGTCACGTGACAAGCTATTTATTGGTTTTTCTTGAAATCGTTTCCTTTTTCACGCTTGATAAGTACTTTAATGCTATCTTTTGCTCAAGAATTGCTCAGAAAAGCAAAAATTGCTCGAAGTTGCTAAAGCCGCAAGAAGTTACTCCAAAAACCAAAAGTTTAAATTTCTCAAAAGTTGCCATGCACAATCGGGACGGGCCCAACGATGGTCGCTAAATAGGGTCTGTTGCACGGTTCACAAAATAGAAAATAATGGATCACGAAAATCGGAAATAGTCTTCCTCAACTGACAGAAAAACAAAGAAAGGATATAATGCATTCTATAATCTCGCAAAAATAAGCAGGTAACACTCTAGTCGGCCTCGTTTATATTTTTCTCAAGAACTCGAATAACGAGACCAAACAAGCAGCACCCTCAAGCAGTGTTTGAGGAAAGAAAATTGCAAAAGACCAGGTAGGATCTTTTTCCTATTTGAACCAAAAAAATTTAGGCTGAGTGAATGAAGCAGCAATTTCATCGACTGTTCCGCTTAGTCATTTCTACCTTATTATAAGCGCCCTAAAAGGAACCTTCTCCCTTAACAGCTTTGAGCGATTTCTCTCTTTAAATTGAAGCGAATAATTTTCTTTTTTTTTTTTCTTCCAAATATCATTGGAATCATCAAAATTTTATCATGAATTAACAACGATTTTCTCGGAAAATATGTAAACCTAAGACAAAAAACTGTCAGCTTGATCAGTATCTAAAGAAATTGAGGTTCCAAAATACATTGAGGTAAGATTGGTCTGTGACATCTTTGTGTCCATGTGTTCCGCAACCAAGAGTTTTGCGGACGTTATAAGAAAATCACACGATCTAAAAGAACTAGAACTCTCATACAATTGTACCCTCTTCGTTGTACTTCAGAACTGTTCCAGGAGAGGCCACAGTCCAGACTCGATTCTCAGTTTTCCACTTTCGCCAAAATTTGCTTCGTCGAGTGAACCACACGTAGAAGTAGTGAATTCTCAAGAGGATCATTATTCCACAAAGAGCATAAATAGCGGCAAACACTGCAGTTGTTTCCGGCTCCTTGGACTTGACTAACATTTGAAAAATACCAAATCCTAAAATGGTGCAAATACTAAATATTGTGACAAACAAGTACCAGAGATCCAAGCGACTGCAAGGTCCCAGTCCATCGCGGGGTATGCGCCACTGTCAGAAAGATAAAAATAGAAGGAAAGAATGAACAAAACAGTGTAATATTTCGCACTATATTTTTTTGGCGGAAAAATAGCGAAGTAATCAAATTTGAATCAGCCTATCGTAGTTAGGACGTGGTCAGAAGTACAAAAAAATGGTTGTTTTGCACAAGTGTGGTAAAAGAGACTTTAGTGTAAACACGAGACTACCAAGGAACGAATTTCAACAGCAGTGAGCACGAACTCTATTTAAAAACCTCCCGACCATCTTCTCTCGTCTAATTAACTGACCAATTTGCATTGCTAAGACTGGAGTTACCTCCTACAGTAGTCGGAGCCCGTAAAATTTGCATATTCATCCGAAACGAGAGATTATTTTGTAATCTCTCGCCCGAAACCCTTGCTCCTGAACCATTGTTTTAAATAAGATCTGGCTTATTCTACCAAACGCAAGTCTTAACAAA